ATGACCTGGGGGTAAGGACCCACCGCTTTAGGGGTGCAAAAATTATATTAGGGGTCAGACTCTCACTTTGGGGGATTGAAATTAAATTCGCGGTGCGAAGGGAGGTGATTGCCCTGAAGGGAGACGGGGCAGATTTTGGGGGATGCTCTATTCTGGGGCTGGGGGAGATGTATGGGTCGGCATCATACCCCAGCGGTGGCAGACAAGGGCAAGGGGTAGGCTCGGACAGGGCAGACAGACAGTTCGAGTAGCTCGCTTCTGGGGCGACACGCTGCTGGAGCAGCGCGACACAGCGCTGCGTTAGAGGTAGACGTGTAGGTAGAGCGAGAGAGGTGGAGGCCATACCTGCAGCGGTGGTACTTACCTAGGTGCCATAGCTGGACTCCACGCCAACGACCTGCACAAACACACCGGCGGCAGTCAATACGTGGCGGCAGTTACCTGCAGGTGAGACAACGAAGAGGACGACATCTTCTTCTTCTTCTTAGTCTCGCCCTCCTTCTCTTCTTCCTCCTTCCCCCTTCTTCTTTTCTTCTTCTTCTTCTTCTTCTTCTTCTTCTTCTTCTTCTTCTTTCAGAGTGTGTGAGAGAGAGAGGGAGTTGACAGGCAGAGGTTACATCGGGCCATGAGGCCCAGGATCTGATTCGACATTTTTGCAGCAGACATTGATTGGACATTCGGCAAGGAGACTATTTTTGGACTTTGTTATCGCTCTTCTCCCTCACCTCCATCTTCGTCTCATCTCTCCAGGCTCTCCCCCATCTCCTCATTCGTGGTATCTCCCCATGTGCATATTCAAGGAGGGACCTTTCTCCTATSTRTGCGGTCCCTCCCCTCTCTCTCACATGTGTGGTGTATGATGGGATATTGTGTCAGTATCTGACAGGTCAGGTCATGTCTTTGAGTCTTCCGTTGCGCTACGTTAYGTTATTTTCGTATGTATCKGAATRTACATTGCTTGTTGATGCTTTGTTGACACTTCATTGTCCATTCGAGTCCATTTCATCACTTTGCGCCGTTTGCAGATCCTTGGCTCCATATACATCGCTCGATTGACCATCTCTCTCTCTCTCTCTCTCTCTCTCTCTCTCTCACACACACACACACACGCACACAAGGAGCAGCCAGAACTCTCTCTCTCTCTCTCATTCTCTCTCTCTCTCTCTCTCTCTCTCTCTCTCTCTCTCTCTCTCTCTCTCTCTCTCTCTCTGTCAGTGAGACCATAATATGAAAAGTTGAAGCAGCGAGAAGGGGAGAGGAGCAAAAGGACCATTTAGCGAGAAGGGAGGAATCCAGGAGATCAGAGATCAACAAAGCAGAAGTAGTGAGAAGGGGGCAGGAGGAATGGGAAAGGTGTCGTTAGAGATGGATTCCAGGCAAGAGAAAATTGGGATATAGTCGAGAGAAGATCTAGGCTACCAGCCGGGTCGCCCGGGTCCCAGGTGGCCAGCCCGTGCAAGGACCAGGGAAGGTCCCAGCAAAAAAAAAAAAAATCCAAAAACTCCAAAAACTCCACAAAAAAACTATGTTAAGTGGAAAAATAAACTGAACAACTTTTGCCTCAGGGTCACATGGAAATTCAACCAAATTTAAAATAAAAAATTAAAATTAAAAAAAAATGTTTTTGGTCCGGCCGGGCAAGTGACCCCCGACCACTCTGGTAGCCTAGGAGAAGAGGGAAAATGATGAATAATAAAGCTAGGAAGGCCAGGGTGTCCAGACAGGAAGGAGACGGGACGAGGATGCGATCCAAGAGGGAAAGGGGTACAAGATCACCAGGAGTGGGAACACTGGGAAGGGGGCATCGGCTGTGGTGATGCGCTATCGTGCCCGCGCAAGAGAGAGAGAGAGAGAGAGAGAGAGAGAGAGAGAGAGAGAGAGAGAG